TTGACTAATGGCAGACACAGAGTAGACTGTACGAGGACAGACACACAGAGCGGACGGCAACAGATGACAGACAGAGAAGTGGAAAGTATTTGGCATGTAGAATCAGATGACGTCATTCACTACTGGGTAACGGTGGTACCTGGCTCTGTAGGTGTTCATGGGCTTGCCTGAGGGGAGTTACTGAAGGAGGAGGCACACCTGACGTGGAAGCAGATCGACCTAATCTGCAGCTGATTTTCATTTCTGTGAAAGTAAAATATCAGCAGGTAGACAGATCAGTGACATTAGAAAAACTGCAAATCCTTGTCAATTAGATAGAAAACAATATGGTTTATATTTATATCTAAAGCAAGTGTTTTGTCACTCAAAGTTAATTGCATCCAACGCACATCTACAGTGCACCACAATACACCTGCACATAGAGAACTGCGCAAATACATATACACTCACCGGCCACTTTATTAGGTACACCTGGTCAATTGCTTGGAAACACAAATTGCTAATCAGCCAATCACATGACACAAACTCAAAGCATTTAGGCATCTAGGCATGGTGAAGACGACTTGCTGAAGTTCAGACCGAGCATCAGAATGGGAAAGAAAGGGGATTTAAGTGACTCTGAACGTTGCATCCTCCACTCCTTCTGCACAGCTGGGACCTCCGGCCTGCCTCCTCACACTTTGTCTACAGACTGGACTCCCCGTGTCCTAGGACACTGCCGCCGGCTGCTTCTGCCAGATGCCTAATTTATGAACAGTGTATGAGGACTAAAACTGTGCCACCTTTACTTCTGTTTTGAAAGCCTGAGTATGATTTGTGCCAAAAGCATTACAGCACTTTTTGGCTCCTGTGGTTGAGCTGATTCCCCCCAGGATTAGAGGATACCTGCCCCAACTGGTGGATGGATGGAGCTGCAGGAATAAATCCAGAGCTGTCATTATACCCCCAGATGTGTGACATAAAACAGATGTGCTGATTTATTTGCAGTCTGGTGAGTGTACATCCATCCGAGGCGGTGGATTCTCTTCATCAATAACCGCACATTTGCACTTGGATAAAGGACATTAGCAGTTTTCACTGCCTGCTGTATGATATTTATGGTTGTCACGGACTTTCAGTGATTTATTTGATTGCACTATTCACGCACTTGTTTGCACTTTATATATTCAAGTATGATATAAGATATTTATGTTTCATGAGTTTACAGTGCTGCACTTTTATGATATACGTTTACATTGGTACAGTTACCGATACTTTAAGTGCTAACAGTTATTCATTTATCCGTAAATAATTTATTTACATAATTTTATATATACCTTTTTTACAACTTGCTTTTATACTCTCTATTTATGTGAATTTATGATTATATGAATTATTACCTATATCCTACAGTACTAACGACAACTAGGTATAATACTAACTATAAGATCCCATCATATGCGCTCCCTTATATTTCTTTATTCTTTATATGTTGCATGGTTGTTGGTGCCGGACAGGCTGGTCTGAGTATTTCAAAAACTGCTGATCTGCTGGGATTTTCACGCACGGGCGGACTGACCATTTGTAAACTCTGGCACTGCCCGAGGGCCCAGGGTCTATAGGGGGGCCCCATGAGATGCCCCTGGTACCTTTTTCATAGGCTTTTTTTGAGTTTGGGCAAGGACACAGGGGCCCCATGATCCCCTATTGCCTGGGGGCCCAATGAGTTGTCAGTCCGCCCCTGCGCACAACCATCTCTAGGTTTTACAGAGCATGGTCTGAAAAAGAGAAAATATCCAGTGAGCGACAGTTATGTGGATGAAAATGCCTTGTTGATGTCAGTGGTCAGAGGAAAATGGGCAGACTGGTTCAAGATGATAGAAAGGCAACAGTAACTCAAATAACTACTTGCTACAATCAAGGTATGCAGAATACCATGTCTGAACACATGTTGAACCTTAAAGCAGATGGACTACAGCAGCAGAAGGCTACACCAGGTAGCAAGGTGTACCTAATAAAGTGGCTGGTGAGTGAACTGTGTGCATGCATTGTATTACCTAGAAATAAATGATGCTGGAGCTAAGGACCTATTTGTTCACACTTAATGGTGCATTGAGAGCCCATGAATGGGCTGTCTAAAGCAACACACCCTATTTCCAATGGGGTTGTTACTAAACGCAAATAGGCTGTTTACTTTGCAAGGGAATTGTCCCCAGAGCATAGTGAATGCGGTGAAGTTTCCAATACTCAATAATGTTCAAGAAAAATATAACATTTTCCGTGCACATGATTTGATAATGGAAATCACCAGAGCTTCACCTCATTCACCAAGCTCTGGGGCAAACGTCTTTGCAAAAATGCAACATCCTTTGCAAAGTGGAGTCTATTTATCCTTAGCAAATTAATCCATATGGGTTAAACAGCTGATATGTCTATAGGGTCAGGGGATGTAATCATAACGGTCACACCCCTTCACTTACCTTCTGTATGCATGCATTAAACCCACACATAGTGTAATAGAACTTTATTCACCTTCAGCGGTCTCACTATGGGGGTATGGGGGGTGCAGACTACACTCTGGTGACATCCGCCAGAAGAGTGACACCATCAAGTAGATATATTCTGGGCTATGACTGGAATGAGGTGACAACAGCAGAGGAGGAGTGGTGACCTTTGAGGAGGGAGGACATGAATGGTCGGTTCTCTGTCCACCTTGCCCCGCCTCCCCTACCCCCATTGCAGAAGTCTGGCTCGGTCCTCCTCCTGGATGTAGTGACATCAGCACGCAGTGTGCACTCCCCGGTTGTCCTGGTAATGGGTTGTTGTCTGCTATGCGGAGCTGGACAGAGTGATGGTGGCTGGGGGAGAGGTGAGAGACCCCCCTTGGGGAAGTGCAGAGAAATTGTATTCAATGTGAGGTTGTGGGGTGCAGGAGAAATAAACTTGAAGTGGGGGGGCTGCAAGGGAATTATAATTGTGTAGGGGAGGGTAATTATAATTGAAGGGGGTGCTGCAGGGAAATTCTAATTGTGGGGCAAGGGTATATATAATATTTGAAGGAAGGGCTGCAGGAGAATTATAATTGAAAGGTCGGGCGGTGCAGAGGAATTATGATTAAAAAGGGGGGGGCTGCAGGGGAATTATATTTAAAGGAGGGAGGATTATAATTTAGGGGGGTTTGGGGGCAGCAGGAGAATTAAATTGTGTGGGGGAAGGGTAAATAAAAATGAGGGAGGGGTGCAGGGGAATTATATGTAACAGAGGGAGATAAGTGAGGTTTTAAAATAGGGGGGTGTTGTGGGGGCAATTATAACAGGCTGGGGGAGTGTGGAGTAATTAAAATGGGGTGGCTGAGGGATTACAGTATTATATGGTAATTATAGTAGTGGAGTGGGGGATTTATGATGGGGGGTATGTAACTGCAATGGGGGAAATAGAAATACTCTGGGGTAATTATAATGGGGGAGGGTTGTGGGGTAATTAGAACTATGAAGTGTGTGGGTGTGTGTGTGTGTGGGGGGGTGAAGTAATTACATGTAATGTGGAGTAGTTATAATTGGGGAGGGGGTCCAGGGTATTTAAAATGGAGGAGGGGCGGTTGCAAGGTAATTATAATTGAGGGGGGTATTGCACGAAGATTATATGTAACAGAGGAGGATGTGTGAGGTAATTATAATGGGGTGGGGTGTTGTGGGGCAATTCTAAAAGGCCAATTATAAATTTGTGAGGGGAAAATCCCCTTTGAGCAGGTCTACTGACCTATCATTCATGTTTACTAAAATAATTGGATAAGTTCATTTGTGCCTAGGGCAGCATGATATCTAAATGGGCTCCTGGCCTCTGAGATGAGGCACACGACCCTAAAGCTTTTGGTTATGCCCCGGTTTTATAATACTACCATGGTGCTAGGCAGGCTACTCCACAACAGTAACCCTGTCATCATGAATCCAACCTGAAAGTGTCTGCACCTGATATGCAGGATGGTCAGGGGTGCAATAGGACAAAGCTGTTACTGAACTGCAGCAAAAAATCAGATCTCTTCCCCACCAGAAAGAGCTGTGCTGTGTGGAAAAGCAGTGGAAAAGTCAGAACTGGGAGAGAAGAAATACAACTGAGTTGGCAGGTAAAACAGCTCTAATATTGTATTCCATCTGTATATTTTACTTTTTTCCTGGAGTTCAGCCTTAATGTTCACATAGGTTGTGTCCTATATTGTTACCAATGCATGTGCATTACAGTAAAGCACTACAGATTATGATGGCATGTATAATAGACTGTAGAAATATACAAGAAAATGTATTATATTCTCTAATGCTTTAATTTAGTTTCTCTTTTGCTAGAAAGCACATTTCTTACCAGAGCCATTGCTTCCTGCTAACATGGTTGGACTGACGGACGATCTTCCAAGTCTGCTGGAAACATGAGCTGGGCCTGGAGTTCCATCCCATTCTTGAGCTTTCACCGTCTCTCTGGAGGATGGTGAGGAATGGTGACTTGATCGTTCTTTGTTTTCCAGCTTTGGTAAGGGTTCTGTGCTATGACTCCTGACCTTCATTTCATCTGGTGGTTCTAAAAAAATTGAATAAAAGATAATATAAGAGTACACAATGAACACACTAAGGCCAGGTGTAAATCTATTCTGGAAAAAGATTTCCTTAAAGTGTAGAGCTTTTTACCAGTAGTTTCTTTGTTTCTTTTGCCAAAATAAATATCACCTCCCCTTTACCATTTTGGTTTTGTTATACTGTTTATGACACATGTGCAGTTAAGCGCACATTCCCGACCTGCTCCTGGAATCTGTAAGATGCTAAGAACAGAGCCAAGTGCAGGGAGGATGTAAGTCCATTGCACATGTACAGGAGTTACCTTATTAGTAGCCACCAAATGGTTGAAGAAAGAAGATGCTGTGTTGGAACAAGCAGTGGCAGATGGAGTAGTCACATGGATCATAGAGCCATCAGCACAGGAGGATAGCAAGCTGAGAGTTAAATTTGCCAAGATGTGCAAGTAGGCTATCCTACGCCTACTTGCTCATTATAGCAAGACCTACTGCCATCATAATGGTGTGCTATTCATTTATATTGCCAAAAGTATTGGGACACCCCTCTAAATCATTGGATTCAGGTGTTCCAATCACCTCCATGGCCACAGGTGTATAAAATCAAGCATCTAGGCATGCAGACTGCTTCTACAAACATTTGTGAAAAAATGGGTCACTCTCAGGAGCTCAGTGAATTCAAGCGTGATAGGTTGCCACCTGTGCAATAAGTCAATCTGTGAAATTTCCTTGCTACTAAGTATTCCATGGTCAGCTGTTAGTGGTATTATAACAAAGTGGAAGCAACTGGGAACAACAGCAACTCAGCCACGAAGTGGTAGGCCATGTAAAATGACAGAGGGGGGTCAGCGCATGCTGAAGCGCAGTGCGCACAGTGTCTGCAAAGTCATAAGCTAAAGACCTCCAAACTTCGTGTGGCCTTCAGATTAGCACAACAACAGCGTGTAGAGAGCTTCATGGAATGGGTTTCCATGGCCGAGCAGCTGCATCCAAGCCTTACATCACCGAGTGCAATGCAAAGCGTCAGATGCAGTGGTGTAAAGCTGGCTGATACTGGACTTTAGAGCAGTGGAGATGTTCTCTGGAGTGACAAATCACACTTCTCTGTCTGTCAATCTGGCAGGCGTGTCTGGGTTTGGCGGTTGCAAGGACAAGGGTGCTTGCCTGACTGCATTTTGCCAAGTGTAAAGTTTGGTGGAGGGAGGGATTATGGTGTGGGGTTGTTTTTTAGGGGTTAGTCTTGGCCCCTTAGTTCCAGTAAATGTAACTTTTAAGGCATCAGCATGCCAAGACATTTTGGACAATTTCATGCTCCCAACTTTGTGGGAACAGTTTGGGGATGGCCCCTTATTGTTCCAACATCACTGCGCACCAGTGCACAAAGCAAGGTCCATAAAGAGTGAGTTTGGGGTGGAGGAACTTGACTGGCCTGCACAGTCCTGACCTCAACCCGATAAGACATCTTTGGGATGAATTAGAGTGGAGACCGCGAGCCAGGCCTTCTCGTCCGACATCAGACACATGTCATTCACTTCTCATCATTCCCACAGACACACTCCTAAACCTTATGGACAGCCTTCCAAGAAGAGTTGCAGCTATCATAGCTGCAAAGGGTGAGCCAACTCAATATTGAACCCTACGGAATAAGACTGGGATACCATTAAAGTTCATGTGTGTGTAAAGGCAGGCGTCTCGATACTTTTGGCAATATAGTGTGTGTGTATATATATATATATATATATATATATATATATATATATATATAAAATATTTCCCCCCCCCCTTTCCAGAGGAAGGACTTAGGTTTATTGAAGCAAAAGATGATGTACCAACATCCATCTGGTGCCTCTACCAAATTTACCAACCATACCTCTAGCATGTTAATTAACTTAATGATCTGAGTGGGAGAGCTCCTTGATTTTCTGTCTCAAACACAAATAGGTGGACAAGAACTTTCAAACAATTATGCTCTACTGCATTGCACAACACTGTCATCCTAACATACCAAGCTTGTTATAGGAGGGAGCACATGGAAATGACATTGTCAGTGTGGTGCTGCTCCTTCATTATCCTAAAGCAGGATGGGGCATCGAGAGGGTAACACCACTGTATACCTAACTTTAACAAAGTAATGTCACTCTCCTGGCTATGCAGCAATGAAGGACTGTGTAAATCACGTAATTAGCTGAACTGAATCACAAATATTTTGGGACACACAAAAGTGCACGCAGTTCAAACAACTCATTTTTCATCAAAAACTCTACTTCACAGGGCTATTCTTCAGTCAAACAGCCATGTTGATTCTCGGTTAAGAGTCTGATATACAGCCTAACATTAGAATATCCCACCTACAAATCCAAGTTCTATATTAGTGCAACCCTCGCTTATATCTTCTAGAAAAGGACAGACTCCATCTGTGACTGTCAGAATTTCAGAAGAGAAGGAGAGGCTGAATAGTGTCATTAGAAGGATGTGGCTTCAACTATGAATTCAAGTGTTCTATCTAGACATTAAAAGTATAAACATCATGGAAAAGAGGTGATATAGAAGTACCTGCAAAACATGTTACATATTGACTCTAAGGTGCTGAATAGAGAAGAAGTTTAGCATTGTTACAAACTTTCTCTGGCCACCCTCCCTTTCTAGTCCCCTCAATACATTTTAGTGCCCCTCCTCTGCACTCCCTTAAACTTGAATGGGCCAAACCTGTATTGAAGCTGGACTGTCCTATTCAAATCTATGGAGCATTAGAGCACAGGTTTGGACAGCCCAGCACAAGATTGTTACTGACAGTGCTGCAGAAAGTGCAAGAGGCCACAATCATTATGGGGGGTAAGTATGAACTGGTGTGTGTGTGTGGGGGGGGGGGGGGGGGGGGGGGTATAGATAAATGTATTGAGGAGGCTAGGGAGGGGGGACAGAGGGTATTTTGTACTTTCATCACAATTTGATTATCCTTTTTTTTCTACTCTTTTGATTTGCATGCATACCCACTTTAGCTTTGTGTGAAGCTGACCGTAACTGGTAGCCAAGGTGCCTGTATTTAGAAAAAGCATTTAATAATTTACAGGTCATAAGGAAAACATTTTACCCTGTTTTGCTAAAAAGAAAAAAAAAGATAAATCCTGCTGATCTGATTTGCACGCACGCACCAAGATGACTCATACCATTTCAGGCCATCTTTAAAGTGAAATCCATGCAAAATAAGTATGAATTTCAATATTTTTTAAGATGTTGACTCTTCAAAATGAATTACTTTATTTAAGATCCTTTAAACAAGATCAAAGTGGGGAAGTCACAATGGCATGAGAGTTGCAGGGATTTCGACATAATGCTGACCATATATGGGTAAATATTTTCTGCTTTTTTCATATTTTGTGCAAAGGTTTGCCTATGACAATTCATTAATTTCTCAATTCATCTGAACGTGCCAGGTTTATTTGTCTGATCAGTGAAAAACACACATCATGTATGGCAAACAGAGTCTGTCGTAAAAGGTGACACAGGTTTGCTGCTGGTCACAATAGAGCTCATACAAATAAAGTGGCAATGTAGATAAAACAAAATTGTGAATAAAAGCTGAATTTGCAAAAAAGAACATTGAACACTGTTCTGATGAACAGAAATTGTCCCCTATAGTCTCTTCAGAAACCAACACTTCTGGAAGTGTCAATCTCCTGTGTCCCCTGGTGCAGTCAGTGGTATCTCCTACTGATCCCAACATAAGTCCAGAACACAGTAGTTATTTAAGAGTCTGTGGAAGGAACCACTGTGCAGCAGGGGATACAGGAGATCGACACTCCCAGAAGTGTTGGATTCTGAAGAGACTTCGGAGGACAATTTCTCTTCACTAGTTGGCTGCACAAGCAGTAGAAGAGGTATCTACCTTCTTCTTTTCAAGTAGAGCTTTCATTTTAAATTTCTTTTTTAAAGACAATGACATTTTATTGGTGAACTGCAATGCTTTTTGTCCAATGTTATTATTTTTTATAAACTTGAATTGTGGTATTTATGTTTTTTTTTTGTATTTTACTCAGGTTTGAGAAGGAAAAAAACATTATATATATATATATATATATATATATATAAACACACTATATTGCCAAAAGTATTGGGATGCCTGCCTTTACACGCACATGAACTTTAATAGCATCCCGGTCTTTGTCAAAATACTTGCAATAATCCTGTTTCTGAGCTCTGCAGGCAGTTCCTTTGGCTTTTGCTCTGATACAGTACACATTCTTAGCTGTGAGATCTTTTATAGAGAGGTGTGTGCCTTTCCAAATCATGTCCAATCAATTACATTTACTACAGGTGGACTCTAATCAAGCTGTAGAAACATCTCAGCAATGATCAAGAGAAATGGGAGGCACTTGAGTGAAATTTCAAGTGTTGTTGCAAAGGCTCTGAATATTTACACCAATGTGATATTTCAGTTTTTACTTTTTCATACATTTGCAAACAATTCTAAAATGATGTTGTCACTTTGTCATTATGGAGTACTGAGAGAAGATTAATGAGGAAAAAAAGGAATTTAAACAACTGTAGTATCAGGCTGCAGCATAAGATTGGAAAAGTGAAGGGGGTCTGATTACTTTATGAATGCACTGTATATACAGTGTAGAGTTGTAGACAAAAACATTATATATACAGTATATATATATATATATTTTTTTAAGGCAACATCTTTCTATATCAGACATTTATGGATTCTTACTGCCTCGTTATCAAAGAACCCTTTGGCCTGTTGAATGTCATCTTGGGAAGTATTTACAACAAGGCGTGTGTAACAAAAGGCTGCATACCAAGATCCTTGTCTTGGGAGTTCACACATACCTCCTAGTGGTGGGGCATGTAGATAAAAGAGCCTCAGCCCAGATTCTCTGGTGACAGGAAGATTAAAAGGACAGATTACTTCTAGCCAGAAGGAAGAAACCGGATGTGGATTGAAATGTTGACCTGGGTTATAGCATTGTTGGCAATATAGCAGTGCCCCCTGGTGGAGACAACATACTTCCAGGAGGATGGCTGGGGTAATACAATACTTCCTAATGAGTAGGGAGGACAGCCCCTTAAGAGTTTTGGACATTCGCTCATTGGATGAAGGACTACACTAGGAAGGTCAAGGGTGTGTGTGTGGGGTAGTGCCTGAGAGGGCTTTTAAACACAGTTCTGGCCATGCTTCTCTCTCTTTTTGTTCACCTTTTCTATCTGGGACCCAGCTAAAAGATACTAAGCTTTGAGGACGAACTTACTTAACGTATCATCTTTGATTTTATTCCCATATACTCTGTAATATTGGTTAAGATTTCTCTGTTAGTGTTTTACTTCCTTTGTAAATAAATAAGATCGTGCTTCTTTGAGCATTGAGTTTGTTATTTTAGCTAATATTGCAGTATGTTACGTCCATCAATATTGTGAGAGCTTAGATATAGATTTACTAATTAATTATAGGAACCGACAAATAGTACATAATTCTGATAAACAGGGGATTCCAGAAAACCACCCCCCTTATTATTTATTTATATGACAAAGGTCATTGTCGGTAGAACATGGTTTCAAATCATGCATTGCACGGAAGGTTCCCCTGCTCAAGTCATCACATGTCCAGGCCCGTCTGAAGTTTGTGAATGACCAT